GCCCCTCTGGCCAACACCAGTACTAAAATAGTACCTGCTCAGCAGGGGTTGCAAGCGATCTGATCAAGTAGTAAAATGTGAAGTCATCAGACTGCATGCCGCTGATTGACTGGTCAGTGGTGTCACTTGATGAGTCATGAGAGCAAAAATCAGAATTGGCATTTTTGAAACCCGGGAATGAGGCACCATATTTTTCGGACTGTAAGGCGCACTTAAAATCCTTTTTATTTTCTCAAAAATTGACAGTACGCCTTATAATCCGGTGCAGCAGATATATCATTGCCTCAACGTCCACCTTTGTTATAGCGACCACCATGCACATTATGTGGTACTTAATTGTAATGGAAAACCAACTGATCCGAGTCGAGTCGTGGCAAGTTGTGGTGAGCTGATCTGAAAAAAAAAATCAATCTACAATCAACATGTTTTAAAAAGTGCTTTTTCTTTCTTTTCTTCTTTTCAGGTGTTGCATTTCTTTGAGTGTGAGTAGTGAGCAAGTGTTTGCAGACAAGTCGGCATCTTTCATGCAAACTATGAGTGCCCAAAGCAATCTGCTTGCTGAACCATAAACATTTTCTATGACCAATTTCATAAACCTCGAGAAAGCAACCTCTAGTCACCACTTCAGAATCAGTCAGGGCACTTTTCCTATAGCGACCATTTGTTACCAGACGGTTGTTGATCGGTCTGTGGGACTGGGTCCTTAAATATTTACCAGATGGAAGGACTAAAAAGTCATTAAAGCCAAATTATCAATAGTTTGCAGGGTTGTTTAATCTTATTTATGATTCTGCAGAAAGTTTGTAGCAATTCTAATATAGTGAAGAGCGCAAAAGCTTTGTAGGGTGTTCTCAACTGCAGTTTTTAAGTCAGTTTAATTTTTTGATTAGTTTTAGCAATCTGACTAGAGTGAAGAATAAAACAACTGTAACAAGAGCCTCTGGAAATAGGGGTCTCTGTTCAGCTCCAAACAATCTCCAGAGCAGTTTGTTTATGGTGAGAACATGATCCGACCTCAATCCAATCCAGCTACCATATAATTTGCAAATCTGAGATTTTTACCTTCCCCCAGTCATCCCATATGCTTTGCATTCTGGGATGCAGCAGTGGTACCATGTGCAGAATACACAAACAGTCAGTGCAGGCTAGCAATAGTTGTCAAATGAATGTAAATTCTCAGTTTTCATTAGGCCAGAACATGGCACCTTCTTCCTGTTTCCTTTTGTTGTTGCTCCCAACCTAGACATATGTAGGCAGACTGAACATCCTCCCATGGTTTGCAGTCATGAATTTCGGCTCTGCAGAAATTTGCTTAGAGTGAAAAGAAACCACAACAAAAACCTACAAGGCTACAAACTCATCAACTGACTTGGACCAGCATATGTGAGCTATAGGCATCAACATTTTTACTGCAAAACTTATACTACTACTACAACTAAGAGAAAGGAGGGAACAGCAGGACAAACTGTGAACTTCTAATAGGTAAAAGTTATAAAAACAAAGACACTGAATGTCATATCTCATAGAAAATTGTTTCAATAAAAACTACATTACCAGCATCAATCTCACTTTGTATCATTTCAGACTGACTAATATTTAATGACTTATAATTGATTGCTGAATAGTTTTTGAGATGACTGGGGTTGCTTGTCTCCACAGGTCCTTGTGAGATTACATCTCTGGAAGTATTTTCGGTGGTGGTGAGATGTTGTGAGGGGGGGGCTGATTTATCTGCGGGTTGTGCATTATGTCTCCACAGGATGGGTCTTCTGTGAGGTTTACAATACACCGATTTCCACGCATCGTCGCAGATGAGAGGAAATTAGCCTGCGAAGGATCAAAACACTGGAGATACAATCAACAACCTTACATGTGACACCGTTAGCCGATCACACGTTAAATTGGAATAAAGGTGAGCAGCTTTTTGAGGAGT